TGATGGTAACACGCTTGGCTTCATGAACAAAATTCATAAAACACTGTGCAGAATCTTGGGGAAAAACACCCGCGCCGAAAACAAGTTCAAGGGCAATGTTTGAAGTACACAGACAGTCGTTACCGCACAACTTACTGCCCATGATAACCTATGCGTCGAAGTTCAGACCCCGCTTCGGATTCGAATCAACCTTTTGGGGTTTGCTTAAAGCTGCATTTAGCAGCAGCGATCTCGTAGCAGCTGTCCTGGTGCGGATATCGTCCAGCACGTCCGCCCTGTCGTAAAGCGTTCGTATGTGTCGTAGCGTGCTCTTGGTGGGGATATCCCGTAAGTGGAGCAATGTGGCTGGGAGTTGAAAGCTTCAGGTGAATCCGGACTTGAGACTGCCTGTGCGTTGGCATTGCTCACAGGGGGACTCGGCGTTGCCACAGCTCGCACGAACTGGGCGACCGAGTGTTGGCTAACCGTGGGTCATTGACCGGTGGCTCTTGTGTAATGACTTATTAAGGGCAGCGATTTTCTCTCGCTCGTTGCACGAGGTGAGATTAATAGAACGTCAGGCAACTTTCTACGTCCGAGCGGTTGGTTCTCTGCAGCCGGACTTGCCGCCGTCCTCACGCGGGCTCAGCCGACACGGCAGGATTCAGCCTTTTTACCAAGTGCAAGCATCGCTAGCGCAGCTCATTAGCTGACACATCAACGCCACAAATACACCGCGACCAAGCCACGTTTTGCTGTGACGAACCTGTGGTCATGACTCGCACGGAGCTTCGCAGGCGAGCGGAGGAACGGCGATGGCAGCACGAAGCCAGAGGCATCGTATATAACTTGATTTGTTTGGGGTTGATGAGCCGGCCATTTCAGCTTGCGGAGAGACTCAGTCCGTGCAAGCCTGCCAGCCGTGTCGTTCGCCTGGGACGCCTGAGATACAATGGCGTGATTATGCACTAGATCAGCACGTCCCGGTGATCCATGATGGCTTCTGGCCGGTCGGCCTCCTCGTGCTGCACAAGAAAGATGGGGGCGGACGTCAGCAAACCTAGCGCGGAGCGTGTTTCATAACGTCTGTGGCTTCAGAAGTGCGCGTGGACACCTGAAAACTAGACCGCGAGTAGCCGTAGGAGTCCTAAAAACTGGTCATCCCCACACGCGAGAATTGCCGGAAAACGCTCCCCTTCCGAACATTGGTACCGTCCGTCCCAAACTGGATCGTGGTGGTCAGGTTATGTTGTTTGCCAGTTCGGTTTCCCAGGTCCCGAAACCCTAAGCGACCTGCATTACAGCAAATATAAATCATGTCGTTGTTGAATTTAATAGCCGAGGAACGACAGACCGGAGTAAACTCCACAGACGCTCGAAAACATGCCGTAGTTGACAATATGTCGTGAAAATACGCCTGAAGCCGGTTTTACCACGACTTGACTTGCTCTCGTGCCGCTGCAAGCCAGACAGATGCGACAGCGGGTAGAACATCTCCCGGTAGCATCAGCTCCGGTAGTGATCTCGGGCTGCAGCAGCCCGTGGTAGGCGGCAGTAATGTGGCGACCCAAAGAGGCCGTATGCGAGGTCCCAGCCGTGCGGTCGGTACCTCAAATGCCAGTTAGAGAGCACTCCGCGCCAGTCGAGGCCCCTGAGTCGATGAGCGCCTCTATGTTGGTCAGGTACGAACTGTACCAAACACTCGGTGACGTGTTGATCCCAACTGGATTGTTCCTTTCACGAGCAGGGATAAAACTGGGGCCCGCGAGTCATTGATCGGGACTCCTGAGTCGATGAGAAACCCCTGTGTCTGCTAGGAGACCACAATGCCTAACAGAGAGTTCTATAACTGGCCGAGTAAGCTAAGAGTGTCTGAAGCCGACCAGAGGCAGTGCTCGAGAGGGCCAAAGAGGGCCCCAAGGGGCCTTCGGGACTGACGACCAAGGGCCCGATTGAAATGCTGAACGGCCCGAGTGTTCTGAAGGGCTCGAGGGTCCTGGAGGGCTGACTGCAGGTCGCATTAAGGACCGCGCCCGTAGGGTCGTGACCTGAAATGACAGTCAGAGGACCTCTCACTCTGATCGGAGACCCTGGGACAATACCGGCCCCTATTTCGGGCAGAGAGCACAAGTACCGAACAATCGGCTTCGTGTCCGTCTGAGCCCTGTGGGCCCATTTGCTGAGCAGGACTAAGGCCGGCGCCCGCGATTTGCATTGGTCAGGGCCACTGCAGCAATGACGGTCCTGTGTCAGTCAGGGAGCCTAACAGGAGTCCTGTGTCGGTAGGGGGTCCTGATTCGGTCAGGGAACATTTACTGAACAGGGCAGGAACGGGACCCCGATTACCGGAGGGACTCTTGGGTTGGTCGGCCCTCTGACGATAAAAGGTAAGATGAGGATTTATGATGCGAGTCCACAATAGAACAACGAAAGAACCATATGTCAGTCAATAATGCCCCAGTCGATGTACCGAACAGGTGGGAGGGGGGGGGGAGGGGGCTCCCCATTAAAGCCAAACCCCCGTTAAAGGGGGCGTCCCACTTTTTTGCTTTTCACTTATTACTACATCAGGCGCGTACGATTTGAACGGTAATACCAGTCTTCTCGAGATCCCTCTGAATAGCTCATAATTTAGATTTGAAGAACCCCACCCCGCGGGAGAAATCTCATTTGACTCCGTGCTCACCACTATGAAAGTGATACATTTTATTTGCCCTGCTTTCTCCAGCGTGTGTTCTGTAATGCTTGCAGCACACTAATGTGTCAAAACGTTCGTGCAATAGATGCTACGATAGCTTGGAACACTGTTAAGACAAAAAGATGTGCGGGCATGAAGCCATTATTCCGCGAATTCAGCAAAGCATTTTGCTATGACTCTGATTTCTTCCTTATGACGTTTACCACAGTGGAAAAAAGAGTGACAGCTGGTAGGCACCTCGCGCTGGGGCGGAATACCCCTTCGGCTTTTGGCCGAGAGCGATAATGTACCCCAAGGTATTCCATCTACGGAGCTCCCTGCGCGGAAAAAGGCGTTGAGTCTCAGCGTTCATTGGCATGGATCGAAATGAAGTCGAGAATGCAGTAATGGAAAAGGGCAACCGTGTTTGCCATAGAACGTCCATCCTTTTGCAGAATCGACTGGTGAATAAATTACATGACAAGTTTGAGCAAGAACGGCGATGGCTGGAGTTGCAGTTTCCGTAAAACCAAATGGCGTAGGTCGCTGCAGACGATACCAATCGGCGGGCGCCGGGTGCACAAGGACAACCACCGTGAAAAACGCCTCCGAAAGTCCTGAAATAACTTTGTGTAATTCAAAATTAGGCTGACGTGTATATTTCTCCTTTGTGATTTCGAGGATGTCCTCTGAACAGAACAGAACAGAACAGAACAGAACATGACTGCTTACCCGGCACGAAAAATAGGGCTTCTACCATTGCTCATATCAGTTCCACCACCAGATTCTCGCACCAGTTTGCGGTACGGTGAACGCTATTCCGTCCTGAACATCAATCTAAAAATCGCTCACCAAAAAATCGCTAAAAACGCTTGCAGAGTACAATGTCGGTGTAGAACCCTCACAAAACTCTGGCACAGCTTCTTAGTTCTATCGGTTTAAAGAGTCCATTGAACCATTGTAAATTTAACCGGTTTCCTTTAGTTTACGGACTTCAAAATACATCGCTATTGTCCGGCAGTTGTGGCTTCTGTTCCAGTAAGAAGTGAAATAAAGCCTTCCCCCTCGAACCTAAGTGGCTTTTCCATTGATTTTTTAATGGGGAAGGGGGAGGCCTTTCACGATCAGGGGCCCCTTGTCAGCTCTGTCCCCCTCCCCCCCCCCCCTATCACGGCTCTGCCTGCACCCCTAGTCAGTAGTGCCGACTCCAGTGCCGTCAGTCATGTAACTCACGCACGCTCACACGCGCACGCACCATTCAGTCGTCTACGCCGAAGGCCGGGCACCGGCGGATTACGTGCCACCTACCTACTTTCTACTGAAAGCCTGAGGTGTTCGCCGACGGTCGATAACGTCACCAGTATGCCGCTGAGCGGTGAGTGACAGGCTTTCGCGCGGCGCCTCATCATTTATTCAAACGTTAGTCGTTGGAAGGCTCTTGCACAGCAGTGTCATACGAACATCTTATCCCGACGACATAAAATCACACTTTCATGGTTCAGCCAAGTGGTAAAACCGGACCCGCTGGGCAAGTTGGCTGTGTAGCTATTCATACAAAACGCAATCTGCAAAAAAAGCTAATACTCGCGTGACCGTCCTTCGGAACCGGGCCGCAGTCGGTCCACAGCGGACCCGCTCCCGATACATAGCACGATACGGCACTGAGCTGCGCACGGTCACCGGCTGCAGGATGGCGATACACAGCCTTGCACACGCCGACGGGACGGATCGGCCTATAGGAAGCGATTTTGGAGCCATATGCATATAAGACGTTGTGTTACGTTTTCCCTCTGTTTCTCTTTCGGTTCTGTTTCGTCCCGTTTTTTTCCAGGAGGGTGGCCTGTGCGCTGTAGTATGCAATCAGGATTATGTTTTGTACTCCCATTCCGTTAACAGACGACCTGGAGGACCCGCCAGAATGGCACACCATGAATGGAGCGGGAGGGGAGGGGGAGGGGGTAATGCTATCACTGCTCCAAAATAACGCTGGTGCCGGGCAATTTTCAGAGACAATGCTGGGATAATTTCTTAAATGCTGAGTCGCATTAACCAAAGGTACATAAGCTCAAGGTCAAACAAGGCCGCGCGCCGAAATATAACGGTGGGGAAGCGCACCCGAAAAGGCTCAGTATTAGACATCAACAGGTTTAGACGGCAAAAATTGTCCGTTGGCGGCGTAGCGTATGAAACATGAGTAATGCCGCATCATTATAACGTAAATGCTGCACTTGACACGAACAAGGAGGGCACGCGGACATTCAACGACGATCCGGTCACAACTCTGAAGTCGCAGACGCGTGGAACGTCCCCGGCGATGGCTGCGATGACGCCCCTCCCCCCCCCCCCCCGGACCGGCCGGCAAACGAAGGCGCCCGCTTCTGGCCGACGATAACCACATGGCGCGGCCGAATCCGAACCGGGCGCCAGCGACAGGTCCGGGCGGCAACACAGCCTCTTTCTAGAGCTTCGTCGGGAAGACGCATCTCTGGACGGCCGTGAACCTCCGTTCGACGGCAGCTGTGCTGTGTCGTGCCGCGAGGGCTTGCCCGGCGCTGTGGTCCGATGGCCGGTGGGTGCCCGCGCGGGGGAGGCGTGGGATGACTTGCCAAGCTATATCTGAAAACAGTTGCTGGCCGAATGCTTTACGGTTTGCTTGACGCCTTGTTCTCTTGTTGGAAATGCACAAAAAGTCGTTTACTAGTGAAGTTTAGTTTGCGGTACATTTTGCGTAAACAGGGCGGTCGGTCAGATTTTGCCATCTCCTCCCTCGCCCCCTCCCAGAACGCACAGCAATCAGCCTTGTTGGCGAATCATGAGTTCAGAGCAACGCACACCGGTACATGCTGATGTAAAAAGCGTGCTACATGTAGCCTTCGGCAGTGGTGGGTGGAATCGGAGAGATTCCTTTCCACTGATGGCCACTCTTTTTAACAGAGAGCTGCCCCACGTCTACTACATCCTCGACCATTCAGTGATGACACGGCACATAGAGGCGCCCCGCGGCGACCTGCTGCCGTTACTCCGCTGCCGCCGCTGCCGCGCACGAGGACGGCAGCGCGCCCCTCCGTCCCGCTCCATGTTCTCCCCTCCGACGCACGGGGACCGCTGGGCACGGCGGACGTCACGAGACCACCATGCCTCAAGGAGATTCTTTGCCCATCAGGTCACCGCCCTGACCCCGCCACCGCGCACAGGCCGAGCGCCTCCGGGCGGTGCCATCGCCTGACGCCTGGTCCGCGAAGCTGACGACTCTCGGGTGCGTGTGGCCGTGGAGGCGGGCATTACGGTCCACGCACTGGACCGGCCCTGTGGGCTCTGCTGGCGTCGTGACGACGGCCGACCGACCGGCCGGTCTGGAAGCTCGTGTGACACGGGGCCCGGACTGGGAGCGCCGCTGAGGCTCCTCTATATCTCGCTCTCGGAGGGCCAGCGCCGGCCGGCCATGGCCTGGTTCAGCTGGGCGGTGAACTCCTTGGAGACGCGCAGGGGGCCTCCCCTGTTCAGCGACGGGTCGGACGGCCCAGCCTGGAACAGGTCGTCGTACTGCGGCGGCTGGAACATGGCCGACGATGAAGGTCCGTGCGGCTCGCCGTACGCGTGGTGCGCCGGACCGGGCGGCGGCGGCGCGGTCGGCCGCTGGTACGGGGGACCCGGCGGGCGCCACGTGCCGGCTGCCCTCTGGTCCGGGTCGAAGCCGGGCGCGTCGGGCATCTTCGGCATCGGCGGCGGCGGTGCCTTGCGCACGGAGCGCATGCGCCGCGGCGGCTGCAGCTCCACCACGGGCTCCTCCGACGGCTCGCTGGAGGGCTGGCCCGACCGCGACCGAGGCTTCCTGTAATGCCATCAGATGAGTAAGACCGGGGCGGCTGTGGTCGCGGACCTCGTAACAAGTAATTGGGACAGTTCCACACGACACACGCGCGCCTGCACACCCAACGGCACGTAACTTCGCAACTGTTGTTCATTTACATATGTGCATACTACGGTATGGCATAAATGCCACATACTGCATGTCAGAGGGGTGGCAACACAGTTGAAACGCTCGGAAGAAGTTACCGACCTCACACGGCATGAACCGCCATCAAACCGAGGACCATCTCCTGTATTTTCATCGCAGCCGTGTTCCCCACAACCACAGTCCTGCCGCTCTCTGGCAGCTTTGGTCCGTGTCCACCGCTACTCGCCCCGATACCTGGCAGCTTTGATCCGTGTCCATCGCTACTCACCCCGCTGCCTGGCCGCTTTAATCCGTGCCCGTCGCTACTCGCCCCGCTACCTGGCCGCTTTAATCCGTGTCCGTCGCTACTCGCCCCGCTACCTGGCCGCTTTGATCCGTGTTCATCGCTGCTCTCCCAGCCCTCTGGCAGTTTTGATCCGTTTCCATCGCTACTCGCCCCGCTCCCTGGCAGCTTTGATCCGTGTCCATCGCTACACGCCCCGATACCTGGCAGCTTTGATCCGTGTCCATCGCTACTCACCCCGCTGCCTGGCCGCTTTAATCCGTGCCCGTCGCTACTCGCTCCGCTAACTGGCAGCTTTGATCCGTGTCCGTCGCTATTCGCCCCGCTACCTGGCCGCTTTGATCCGTGTCCATCGCTGCTCTCCCAGTCCTCTGGCAGTTTTGATCCGTGTCCATCACTACTCGCCCCGCTCCCTGCCAGCTTTGATCCGTGTCCATCGTTACTTGCCCCGATTCCGGGGCAGCTCTGATGCGTTCCATCGCTACACGCCCCGCTCTCTGGCAGCTTTGATTCCTGTCCACCGCTACTCGCGCCGTCCAGCTGGGATTTCCGCGGCGCCGCCGACTCACCCAAGGATGGGCACCATGTACTTGGGCGCCTTGCGCGTGCGGAAGCAGTCGCAGTCGCAGATGAACTCCATGGCGCTGAGGCAGGCGTCGCTGTAGCAGAGGTTGCCGCAGCGGCTGGTGGGCTGGCCGGACAGGTTCTGGTTGGACGGCAGTTCGTTCCCACGCTCGTCTGTCAACGGGCGCTACCGTCACAGGCCGGCTGGAGAGGCCCCGAGAGGCGCGAGCTGCGACTCGACCGCGTGGTACGGCCGCTCGCTAGAGTCTGACGCCGCGCAGGATTGCAGTCAGCTCCAGGTTGGGCACCAACACATTGGCGAAGTCTACGTTGATGGATTGTAAAATTCGAGTACTCCGTTGGCTGATAAGGAAAAAAACTTTTTACGCTTTCAATGTGTTTCATGTCGCTTTTATGAAGCCTTACGTGAAATCATCAAACATCGTTTAATTCGATAGCAATGTGACCAAACGACTGGTTTCCCCGAATTTTCGACACGCGTCGGGCATGGTCTTGTCAGAGTGCGGATGCCTGAGTCCTCTGTCGAAACAACCCACATCACCGGGGCCGAGTCCGAATCCATCAGGTCTACTGCAAATGAGTCCTTTTTCCCACGACCTTGAACCGAAATCGGATTCCGGGTTTCTTTATTTCGCCGCGTGTGAGTGCGGGTGGGCCCCTCAACAGCACCTATCGTCTCAAGATAGAGCTGAGTTGGCACTTCGCCGTCTTTGCCTCCACGTGATACAATAATTGTAATGCAATTACTGGCTGCGAATAGGGCATTGCGGTTTTGGGTGGCTAAAAGTGTCGGAGCATGGAAGTAGGTGTCAGGTACCATGGTAATTAAGTCAATCGTATTATGCTTTCAAGGAGTATTTTTATCAAAATAAGACGGCGTTTCACAATTCAGTCAACTGACTGATGCGTGGTCTGACTGACGACCTAGGTGATCAAAGAAATGTCATAATGAATGGAGACCGCGTTCTGTCTCGGCTGAACCATGTCGAGTCCTGATTCCCTTTGGTTTAAGTCTGGATCACAGTCTCAGGTTTGTAGAATGTTTTAAGTCCCGAGTACGTTGGAACCTAGCCAATGTTCACGTGGGTTCGAGTCCCTGACTTTTTCCACTGAAGCCCGGGACTGACTACGATACATCTGTAGAATGAACCGATTCACGTGAGTCCGAGTCCAAGATGCGCGTGAACGAGAAATAGATTCGGCTTCCGGCCAGTCTCAGACTCGTGCCTAGTGTCCGTGGCTGGTCGAAAGGTCGCTGGTGTCCGAGTCCGAAGACTCCAGGTCCTCAGAGTTTGGGTCAAGTCCACCGAAACGTAGCACGGCATAGGTCAGCTGGATACGGGGATTGAACCCGAATCGGAGCACTCGCGTTATAGGCGCGTTCGTCGTACAGCCCTCGGGTCAGTGGTTACCGAGTCTTTTGGTTGAGTGCTTCTGGCAGCAAACGCAGAACATCCGGGTGCATGAGTCGTAGTGGTTCTTCATGCCACAGTGAGAGAATGCCGCCCGAGTCTTTGCAAGAATCTGCAATTGGCAAACAAGTGCACGATTCATCAGTCATAATTTCCGGACAGTAGGCTAACCTGGCGCAACCTACACAGTTCAAGGGTGGGCTTAAATTGAAAGGAGAACAAAATGGCTTCAGATCACACGTCCGGGCTGTTGGCAAGCAATGTTTACGCACTACTTCCATCCAGAATGGTGGCACAGGGCGTTCGTCACACGAGAGCGCCGAAACCACACCAACTGATACAGCACCGCGCGCAGCCCCCCCCCCCCCCCCACATCTCGGGCCCACGCTAGCAGCCATGTGCCGTCGGGCGGCCGCGGGCATCACACCGGTGCTGGCAGCCATGTGCCGCCGGGCGGCCGCGGGCGTCACACCGGTGCTGGCAGCCATGTGCCGTCGGGCGGCCGCGGGCGTCACACCGACGCTGGCAGCCATGTGCCGTCGGGCGGCCGCGGGCGTCACACCGACGCTGGCAGCCATGTATCACCAGGCGGCCGCGGGCGTCACACCGACGCTGGCAGCCATGTGTCACCAGGCGGCCGCGGGCGTCACACCGACGCTGGCAGCCATGTGTCACCAGGCGGCCGCGGGCGTCACACCGACGCTGGCAGCCATGTGTCACCAGGCGGCCGCGGGCGTCACACCGACGCCGGCAGCCATGTGCCGTCGGGCGGCCGCGGGCGTCACACCGACGCTGGCAGCCATGTGTCACCAGGCGGCCGCGGGCGTCACACCGACGCTGGCAGCCATGTGTCACCAGGCGGCCGCGGGCGTCACACCGACGCTGGCAGCCATGTGCCGTCGGGCGGCCGCGGGCGTCACACCGACGCTGGCATCCATGTGCCGTCGGGCGGCCGCGGGCGTCACACCGACGCTGGCATCCATGTGCCGTCGGGCGGCCGCGGGCGTCACACCGACGCTGGCAGCCATGTGTCACCAGGCGGCCGCGGGCGTCACACCGACGCTGGCAGCCATATGTCACCAGGCGGCCGCGGGCGTCACACCGACGCCGGCAGCCATGTGCCGTCGGGCGGCCGCGGGCGTCACACCGACGCTGGCAGCCATGTGTCACCAGGCGGCCGCGGGCGTCACACCGACGCTGGCAGCCATGTGCCGTCGGGCGGCCGCGGGCGTCACACCGACGCTGGCAGCCATATGTCACCAGGCGGCCGCGGGCGTCACACCGACGCTGGCATCCATGTGGCGTCGGGCGGCCGCGGGCGTCACACTGACGCTGGCAGCTAGCGCGTGTGCTGCTGCGCCGGTCTTCGGGCCGCCCTCGCTGTGTCCGGCGTGGCATGCTGCGCAGCTCGCCCCCAGCTCACCTGGGGCTTGAACCGCCTGTACACGAAGATGAGGATGGCCAGCAGCGCGCAGACGGCCAGGATGATGCCGATAGTCGCGCCGACCTGCCGCGTGGTCTCGGCCGAGGCCTGCGCCAGACGGCGTGCCGTCAGGCTGGAGGGCGGACGCTCCCCACGCCACAGGGTAACCGGCCGTCTCGGCGCCGTACACCCCCCCCCCCCCCAACCAACACCGTCACGTGCAGCTTTCGGACATTTCCGAGCAAATCGCGGTGCTTATATTCAGGCTAGCGATCCCCTGCCTAGAAAACAGCCTAACAGCCGGGTCATGCCTATTCAAAATCCAGTTTTCATGCTATTTGGCCAACCTTATTGCGAGATGTTTTAAAAGTAATTAGCAGTTTTCCAGTTAAACGTCTCTATCATTTCCCTCGTCATATTGTACACTGCGTGTATGCGGGAAGGGGGGTCAAATCTGGATACAAAAGTCGCATCATTAGAGAGGATCGTAGCGCCGCGACGCCTGCGCCGCTCCCCACGTGCCGTCAGCACCGACACAGGCCACATCCTGGGTCAGCCCGCCACCCTGACGAGCAAGGCTCGGTCATTCCTCACATGCATTCAAATCAACCAGCATGCAACAGCCCCCCAAAAGCAGCTCATGGGGGCAAACTTACTCGCCAACAAGATCTGCGTCGCCGCAGAACCACTCCATAAATGTCGTTCACCGACACATCGTGCACAGCTGGGCAACCACAAATCGGACATTTTACCCGCAAAACAATGACTCGACACTTTAAGCTGTAGCTTTGAGAGCGGAGTCCTTGCTGAGCATGACCTACGCAAAGACCCTGACCCAGGTGCGCAGCCAAGGGAGACGGGCGGGGGCAGCCCCTTCTTCGACACACATTTTCTTGTTTTCATCAAAGATAGCTCCAGAACAATCCCAAGATCGTGATAAGTGCTCATCAAGCCTCCCACCCCACCCCCACACCCCACCCCTACCCTCAGACAATCCTGGCTGCGTCCCTGCCCTGATTCCACCAGTGGAACAATCACAATTCAATGAATAAGTTGTATCACAAGACTAACGTTCCATGCCATTTCATACCACTGCCGCCTCATGCCAATCTCATTGCCCCCCCCCCCCCCCCCCACACACACAACTGTCTTCGCTGACAAGCCACACGAAGATAACTTTTGTAACGCAAACTCACTCGTCTGCCACACAGTGGTCATCACATGGTGAAAGGAACGCAGCTACAGTACACGTGACATCCACCGTAAGGCGTAACATTAACGAGCTATTACGCCGTACCATTAGTGATCGCGGTCGGTGTCTGGCACTCACCTCCTTTTCAAGCTCGCCGGCTTTCTTGCAGAAGAAGTACTTGGCACGGACGACGTACTTATCCACCAGGCCCGAGCAGAGGCATTGGAAGTAGGGCAGCGTGGTGTTGTCGTGCAACTCGCCGCACGTGCTCAGCGCCGCCGAAATGTTGGAGAACCTGGGACAATGGCTTCACTGTCAAATTGGGTGGAGGGACAAACACGGGCACGTTGACGGTGGGCTGAGGGGCCGCCGAAAGCTCGGTCGGCGGGCTGAGGGGCCGCTGAAAGCTCGGTCGGTGGGCTGAGGGACAGCTGAGGGCTCAGTCCGTGGGCTGGGGGGTCCGTGAGGGCTCGGTCGCCGTGATGGACCGCCGGCGAGCGTGGCCAGCACGCTCTGTTCACATGTTTTGGGAGTTGAAGAGTGGGAGTAGTGAGAGGTAATCGGATGGAAACGAATGGGGAGAGGGGGAGATAGTAACAGATGGGGATGATATTCAGGGAGCGGGAGCGAGGAATGGAAAGACGGAGGTTGACATGAAGATGGAGATGGAGATGTAGATGGAGAAAGTCCGAACAATAGTTCAGAACATCTGGTGACGCCATGAAACACGCCCATCTGGCATTTTCATTTATGTTCCGGGGAGGGGGGGGGGGGGGTAAACCTTTGTCACAAGATCACAAGTCTCAAGGCCCATTTTACTAAGGAAGGGTTCCGCATCTGAAGATATTGAAGGAAGCATCAGATATGATGGAATAAGCCCAATTAAAACTCTTGATATCCTTTCAAGTGGAAAGACTGATCTAGGCAAAAACATTCCCCTATGTAGTATATGTGCTCCCAAATGCGTCAAAGTCTGATTGCGTCATGGAACGTTTGTATGACAACACTAATTTGTAATTCTTCAATCTCCCGCGAGATGGCAAGACGGGGTTGAAGTTTTCGCCGAGCCACATAGCGTTATAAGCTTACTTTTTGCCCCTTTCTCATGGTGTGCTTACTGATTTATCCCTGACTAAGGTGTTAAATTGTACTCACGCACCCAGTTTACGCTATTCTTAAGTTGCTCGATTGGAAGTCTTGTTTTCTAATAACTAGAAAGAATGCATAACTTCTTGTATTATAAAGCACAAAGCGTAATTGGTGTCAGAGCACCCGAACCTCTTATCCTCTTCCTTGCTTTATCCTGAATCCTCGTGACGCCCTGCTTATTCGGGGCAGGTTGTATGCGTCATCCACAGGTGGGCCGAGCCCGACATTAATGTTTTGCTCAGCCTTGGACTCCGCATTGCTGGTGGAACGGCAGGATTCGAACTGCGTCATTACGGCGTCGTGGGTGCCTGGGTAACCTCGGAACAGCCCGCACATTTTCGCGGGCGTGTAACTCAGAAACTAGGAGGTTTTAGGTCTAAGAGGACGGGGCTACAAGCTGGATGGAATTATCTTCAAAATGGCTACTTCATTTCGAACCCCCATACAAATGTGGAACACTCCCTTTAAACGAAAAGGATGTGTGAAGCATGTATGGTCTACATTTGTCTTTACCATCACGTCGTCCAATAGAGCACCCATTGTGCCAGTTGATGGGATGGGTGTAGTTGATTGCATTTTCCATTAAGTGCTGCTCCGCCGCATATTTTCAAAACTCGCAAAAATCAGCTGTCTTAGCAAAAATCCTCGTGACGGGGCGTTGACTTAAACGTTTTACTTTTGGTTTTCTTAGAACAAATGGCAAATTCTGATGGAACACGAAACGATTGTTGGATCCCAACTTTTTCCCGAGCGCTCGAATGATTAGCATTCTTACGCCTTGTTTTCAGCTGAAACGTTATCAGCAAAAGCTACGCCGCACTGAACGTACAGCCAAAAGCTGCTCACCTTCCACTGTACCCGCGCTGGGCCCAAATTTTGCGCGATTAATGCAGCGTGACAAGAAAACGCTCTCGAAAACAACAGCATCAGGAAAGTCTTATTGCTCAACATTCGTGCATATCTTAGTCAACTTTTCTTGTACCTCTTATCCCCTTACGGAGACTGGGTCCGCCAACAGTCTTCTTATAGGCCTACCAATCCCAATCCATCCAGCCCTGTGGAATGAGTTGTACAGTATATGTGAGCCTGAGGTGGCCAACCCACAGCATTTTATGCAGGCTGCGAAATGAATATCAGAACATGGCATGTGGAGTTTAGCAGCAGGTGAGAATATATTCCATTCAAGCCAAAAACAAGGAGGAAAATTTCGCAACCATATATGTTCTCAGTGCGTCAGATCTTCCGTTCCTCTCTGAGGCAGTTTTTTTATAGGGAGTGTTCCACACTTGGATGGGGATTTGAACTGAAATAGCCATCCTGAAGATCATTGCTGCAATTCAAAGCCCTGCGCTTCTTGAAACTCAAAATCGTTCGGGCTACACGCTCACGAATATGTGCAAATTATTTTGGGGCGGACTTTTTCAAAGTTTCCGAAGACATCTATGATGTCACATCAACGCTATTTTCTCGGCCCACCCATGGATAACGCATGCAGCCTGCCCCGGACAAGCGGGGCGTCGCAGGGATTCAGGGGAAAGCAAGGAAAAGGATAAAGGGGTCGGATGCTCTGACACGAATTACGTTTTGTGCGACATAACGCAAGAAATACATTCGTCCTAGTTATTACAGAAATAAGACCTGTGATCGAATAACTTAAAAATAGCGTTGTAACCGAATATGTGAATACAAGTATACACCTTAAAATCACGGATAGATAATATGCAAGAGCACCACGAGAAAAGGCCAAAGCACGAGCAGCCAGCGATATTTGATTCAGCACACATCTTGCACCGCCATGGTTCACCTCTCGAGAGGTGGAAGAACTACAGGTGAGTGCGGTCATACAGACGTTCCATGACGCAATCAAACTGTAGCACATTGAGCATATTAATCAAGTAGAAAAAACTGTGTTGTCTAGAGCAGTTTTCCACTTAAAGTTATACCAATAGTTATAAGTGAGCTCATTTTATCACATCTGAAGGTTGCTTCAATATCCTGAAATGCAGAGCATTCACTTTCAACTACCGCCACCAGACCATCACGCGCTGGGACAGCTGTTCCCGTACGCACCATGTCGGTTGTGTCGCTGAGTGGTCGTCCCCGCCCTTCCGGTGAGCTCCCCCCCCCCCCCCGCCATGTGCGCTACCGGCCAGCCGGTCTGTTTACAGTGCACCGGGCAGGCGCGGTTGACGACCTTGGGACGGCTCCTCTGTGAGCTCGGCTGAGACCCCGCCTCCCGCTGAATGTCCTGCTGACCGGAGAGACGCAGAGGCACCGACGCTGTTCTGCTGGTGGAAGAGACCCATACCGGACACTGTTCTGCTGATAGAAAAGACGCAGACGGCCGCAGCCTCTACATGGTGATGGAGGAGACGCAGACGACCGCAGATTCTGCTCTGCTCATTGGGTGACATAGATGGTCTCCGACTCCATTCCGGTGACAGGAGAGAGGCAAACTGCTGATGGCTCCAGTTCGTTGACGGCAGAAACACCGACGGCCGCTGATCCCGCTTTTGAGACTGAAGAAACGCACGCAGCCACAGACTATCCTGCCCACCTCTGGTCTCCCATCCGGCTCGCGAGAGAGTTAAGACGGGGATGGCGCGAGCGGTTTTACCATCTTCCGCTGCTGTCGCAGGTATTTGATGAAAAATAAAATCTCGGAAGTGCAGACATGAGCAGTACGGTTTGTTTATAAGGCAGGCTACGTTTTTTGCAACAAAATGCTGAAACTCAAACAAAATCGGCAAGCACGTACGAACAGCGAGAATGCCCTTCTAGCTCAATATTTGTGCTAGCAAGCTGCATTAGTGGCCTTAGCATTTTCACGTTCTTACAGTCTTAACATTTTGTTTTAGTGTGAGTGTGAGCAAAGGTTGCTCGAACAAGATAGCCCATATCCTTTTCTGCAGCCACTTCGCGCGGGTTCATTGAAGCGGTAAGGTGGTACAATACCCGCAACCCCTGTGCCCATGGAGGCAGTCCTTTGTTGACCTGGCCACGACCATGCTGGTCAGTCCGGAGAACAAAACAAGCGCGTCGCCGGCGGGCGGGCCAAGGGGTCGGGCTGTGGGATTGTTGCCGCTCGCTGGCGGCGAACTAAAATAAAGCAACTTTCCCGGGCCCACAGTAGGAAAGGTAGTCTGACGCAACTCCTGACGTCACACACGCGTGGCTGCATCGTAGGTACTAACTGTAGGCTGTAGGAACTGCAGTGACGCCCTAACCTGTGACGTCGTCGGTCTAACTCGGGGACAGCGTCTGGCAGTGGGACTTGGGACCCGGACCCCACTTACCTCAAATCGTATACCCCATAGCTGCCAGCCATCTTGTCTGTATTTGGGAGGTACTGCCCCTGACGATGTGCCGCTGACTATCCTTGTCAATGACACTGTTCCCGCTTGTGACGGGGAACGAGCCCAATGTGCACAAAGTACGGACAACGCTGCTGCGAGCGCGCCTCCCCGCACTCCCGCGTGCCGCTCCAGACGCCACCTCGGCGGACCTGTTCTTGCACCACTCAGAGTACAGTCTCTGACACTGAAACCGGCCCGCTTTGTCTGCGTGCGGGCCGCTGGTGACATGCCGTCGGCGGAGAGACGCGCACTGCGGGTCGTCCATACTCAACATGCTGGAATGAGCCGGGTGGCGAACGAGCATTTCGCATGCCCCCTTCTCATTCCGCGCATCGGATGCAGGAACGTTGTTTTTGTGCCTCATGTCCTGTCAGTGCGGACTGGTAACATAGCCGTGGCGCAGCGTCAGCGTGTGAGCTTTGTTAGCGTGGTGCAGACCTGACCGTTCTGACAACTCCAACAAGCTCTCGCACAGCGATCGAACCCGCTAATTAGCACTGAAACTGTAACGGTTCTACTTCCACACATGGTCTGCCCCGTCGCAGTGACGTTTCGAGACTGTACGGTTCCGGCAGCTCGCGTTTGCTGCACCCCATTCGCGGCACGGGCGGCGTGGAGGGCCGACTGCGAAGGGCATCGACCATAGTTCACTGCGCGGCCGATAGATGTCGCCACGCACCGGTGGCCGTGCGAGAGCACGGCGACAGTCAAATACCAAATGCTGTTGACCTGTGCGGCAGCGCCGGAGTTGGTGGCGTGGCCGAGCGGGTTAACTGCCGCGGGGTGAGCCCGGCCATCATACAGTGGCCTGGCGGGACGCTGGCTGGCCGCCCAGATCAGTACACCGGCCTCCGTTGTACATTAGTAGGAATGATATGCTGTTGACAAAATGTGTGTAGGGGAAGATACAATTTAAGCAATGCTCCAATTGACCAAACATTTCTTATGTGTGGCTAACGGTAAGCTGTATCCAGGCAGGGGCATTTCCTTGTGCAAGGTGCATTCCAGAAGTAAGTTGTAGTACTTCGTATGATTCTGTGCGACAATTTTTCTTCCGGTTATAGTACAGCGGAATACTTTAAAAACAGTATGGAAGCAATTTAAATGACCATAGGTTGAACGTGTTCTCTGGGCACATAGAAGATCTCAGCGCTGTGCCTAGCCTCGTCTGAGAGATACAGCTGTATTTCGGAGGTATTTTTGTCAAACTGCCCACAATTTGGTTTTCATTTCGACACTGGTTTGCATGTGGGACGCTTCGAATTATGGCGGTGACACCTGTGCTGAGTCAAAGCAGGTGGGTGCAGAAGCTCGAGGCGGGCGGGGTCAGTGCGTGAGGCCCCTAACGCTCCGAGAGACCCGCAGCGCAGACTGACCCCTCCCACCTGACCGAGGTGGAGGCTGTGATAATGGAGGTAACGCCTGTGCCGAGTCAAAGCAGGTGGGTGCAGAAGCTCGGGGCGGGCAGGGTCAGTGCGCGAGGCTCCTAACGCTCCGAGAGACCCGCGGCGCAGACTGACCCCTCCCACGTGACCGAGCTGGAAGCAGTGGTGATGGAGGATCGTCGTATGGCAATCGGCCAGATGACTCAGAGTCTTGGTATGGCGAACAAGTCCACGAAAACAGTCCACCGCGAGCGAAAAGCGAAAACAGCAAAACGGTCCGTTTCATTCGTCATCACCTGAAGACGACCAATCTTGCCTCAAGGCGGGTGGCAAACCAGCTGACGCATCACCACAATGAGGAAGGGCTCAAGTTGGCACAGGAGCATGTACAATGTCACCAAGCGGAGGGAAATCCGCTTGTGGAGCATTGGATAGGGCTGGGAAGAGGGTTAATTGTCCTTTGCGGTGTTCCAGCAAGTCTGAATCGCTGGAAAATATCTGGCTGACGCTGCTGGGAGGCGAGCAGCACAGACACCATGGACACGGCCTTTACCAATCCCTCCCAGAGACATTTACCCAGCAATCAGAACATTCGTGCACAGCACATGGCAGTGCTACTGTGATGATCCGGCGAGCAATAAACACAAGGCCACGCAACCTGAGATGGGTCTGTGGCCATCTTTCTGCTGCAAAGGAAGAAGGGAAGACGTGATTTCTTGCAGATGCGTGGTGACATTTCACATGCGCCTCACGGTCCCTGTTGCGCTCTGCTAGGAGGCCTCTGCGTGGATGGGCGCTTACCTCATAGTAAATCACGTGCTCTCCGCTTGTCCTCAGTTTGCAAGGGACTGGATACGACGCTTTGGATGTCCTGCTCCGTGTTGGACGCCCTGGGTGACAGTTGCGGCTTTCTGGAATCAAAACAGCCGTTCTCGTTTCTAGCAGACGTTGAGTTTAATGTGATGTACCCACCTCGCGAAGGACGTAAGCACATCGTTGTGGGCGCAGAATGGCCTGATCACTCAGCGCGCTCCCTAAACACCAATAACTTCCTTTCTCCAACGCCCACGTTGTTCCACTTCTACCGCAAACAGAGGCTTGGCTAACAGCCTGTTTACGTCTGGTGCCGAGGCGGATGTCGGGCCCGTCCGGCTGCGTGCGGAGGGCGGGAACTGCGACCGCCGCGCGCTGCGGTCGGACGCCCCGGTGTTAACCTTCCATAACTACGTTTTAAGAACGAGCACACGCATGCTCAATGCTGTTGTTCGTTTCCTTGGGAGCTGGATGTTGTGGTGCGCCCACTGTCTTGCTCACTGAGGAATTGCGTTACAATAGCGCTGAATATATGTAAAATGACCTCAGGGCGACCCGGAGGTAACCGCTTTCAGAACTGTCGCAGTTCTCACGGACATCCAGGCCAAGGCGGAGTGATCGCGTCCACTGGTCGTCTACCAGAGCGACGAGTGCGGCGTTTTGGCCCGCCGGCCGGAGGCCGTACAGACTGATGAGGATGGCATATCCCTCAAACTTGACTCGCCATGACGCAAACTCACGCCGGCTGGCACCCTCCATCAGCCTGGGGGCGGGTGTCGCCGTCGCACCCGGCCATCTCGTGCCGCTCGGGGCTGCTAGACCGGGGCTAGCAGCGGGGGTGTCCGTGTGGCCAGCATCGGTCGAGTCGGTCGGTCGGAGTCGGTCGTCCGGGTTTTATCCGGCCTGGCTGGCTGATTCAGCCAGCGCCGGTAGCCGCTCCTCCCTGTTGCGCTGAGGCCTTGACTTGGTCATGCAGCGCGTCCATCAGGCAGGAGAAGGTCTGGGCGAAGACGTCCGTGTTCATGGCAATCGATCCTGTCACTTGCACCATGTTGCAGTTGTCACAGCTAGTTCGGGGAAGCACACCGCAGAAATGGACGCATATGGACGGGTTCCTCCTTATTGCTCGACGCCTCGGGCGCGACTGGTAGACATGTAGGCACGCCTTCGGAGCGTCCCAGCGTCTCGGGCCGCCCGATCACTCACTGTGCGCCGACCACATGCTAGGCGGCGTGAGGCTACCATAGCTCATGGCGCCACGGCCCCAAATGGGCGACACGTCACGTGCCGAGAACCATTATTTTCGCCATTCTTTCAGTATGTGGGGAATTGTCTTATAACTCGTAATGTATCTGACACCGTAGATGGTCTGTTGCAAGCTCGAGGATGAAGCTCCGTGACATCCCTTGGTGATATGCAGGCTTGCATTATGAAATTTTCAAGGCTTATCGATGGGATTTCGTGAAATGCACTGCAAAGGTTCAGCGTAGTAGTTTTTTTTTTCTCACGAAATTGGGCTACCAGTACAGGCTGACGGTAGAGGACTGAGGCCAAGGGCGTTCTGAGCGGAAAATTTGTGTGGGCCAGGAAACACATGAAGATGCGCGGGAAAGCTGGCGAGCTAATTGAATCTTCTCTCACCCGACATTTGCACACCAGAAGCAGATCCGCCGCACAAGAGCTATTTTGAATGGGAGCGGACGGGGCGCGGCGGAGGTGCCCATCCTACCGTTGACCTGAACCCATGGATGTTAGACGGATGCTGGTTACTCGATATGGATGGAATTGGCGGTACGTCGTCAGGAAACATGCATAAAAAATCGCGACATTTCGTCAGGTCAGTCAACTCAGGTCTCCCGATGTGGCCCTGTCTGGCTGGGGCCGCGCGGCTGTACCAAGGCCGGGGTCGGGACCGCGCGTCAGGTCAACTCAGGTCTCCCGATGTGGCCCTGTCCGGCTGGAGCCGCGCAGCTGTACCAAGGCCGGGGTAGGGATCGCGCGTCAGGTCAACTCAGGTCTCCCGGTGTGACCCTGTCCGGCTGGAGCGGCGCGGCTGTACCAAGGCCGGGGTAGGGACCGCGCGTCAGGTCAACTCAGGTCTCCCGATGCGGCCCTGTCTGGCTGGAGCGGCGCGGCTGTACCAAGGCCGGGGTAGGGACCGCGCGTCAGGTCAACTCAGGTCTCCCGATGCGGCCCTGGCAGGCTGGAGCGGCGCGGCTGTACCAAGGCCGGGGTCGGGACCGCGTGTCAGGTCAACTCAGGTCTCCCGATGCGGCCCTGTCTGGCTGGAGCGGCGCGGCTGTACCAAGGCCGGGGTCGGGACCGCGCGTCAGGTCAACTCAGGTCTCCCGATATGACCCTGTCTGGCTGGAGCGGCGCGGCCGCACCAGGGCCGAGGTGGGGACCGTGTCTTAGGTCAACTCCGGCCTCCCGAGGTATGCGAGAGGGTGCAGGCGGGCCCAGGGGATGAGATGGGAGCAGCACATGCGTGTTATTGGGCCGGAGTACGGTTTGGTCATGCGCCATTTTGCAATGATTTTGTGAATGCAGGGAGCAATGGCCGTCAGCAAACACCAAGGCACGGCGAACCCACAGAAAGCACGGCACGAAAGCCCTTACACCGGGGTCACCTGCACGTTTCTTGTGCGATGACGGAACACCCGAGCTGTCTGCACTGGTCGGGTAGGTCCACCCATGCACAGCGACGTGCTGTTCGGATTTGAAGGCCTACCCAGGCTGTGAGTGGTGTGGGCAGACTGCGTATTGTATGAAAGGTGGGAAGGCAGGCTCGCGTGGCGTGGAAAGTGCGTCCGTCCGTCCCCATAGCTCAGTTGGCTTAGAGCGCATGCTTTCCGATCCACCCACCCGTGGCGAGGTGAGTTCGAGTCGCTTTAGGCGCTCGCTATTTGTCACTGACAAATATGGTCTGCTTCCGGCGGCA